TCATGGACTTCAAGCTTCTTGGGTTTACAGGAAGAGAGCAGCGAGAAAGAGTATAAAGAGGCCGTCGCTTTGCCCGGGTTAGACCGCCATTCAGCTTGACCCCGGTTCGAGCTAATGTCGCGGAGTGATCTAAATCCAGGGTGCGGTTTGGATGCGAATGTTCTCTTGATCCAACCGCAAGCACCAAAAGCTGTAAAACAACATGCTAACGTTTGAAAGGGACCACTGAAACTCTTTCACCGGTTTTGCTTTTGATACGTAAGTGATAGCACGGGGGGAAAAGCAGGAAACCTTAGAATGCCACAGAACTCTCCCAACAAGAGCCACTGGCACCCGAAGCGTGTGGTTCTCATATCAAAACCACAGCATGTTGCCAGATGTCCCTGTTGGCTTCCCCAAACAAACCAAACCTCAAACAACATCACACACTTTGATGAGATAGCTGCCATGCAGGGCATGCAGGGCATGCAGGGCATGCAGGGCATGCAGGGCATGCAAGGCATGCAAGGCATGCAAGGCATGCAAGGCATGCAAGGCAGGGCATTTGCGGGGGTGGTTTAGTCTTTGGGATGAGTTTAGTTTGTTTCTTTGCATGCTATATGTATATATGTTCCAGGCCGTGAACCGCCCCCCCTTCCCCCCCCCCTTCCCCTTCCCCTTCCCCCGCCCCTCCCCCCCCTTTTCCCCCCGCTGTGGGGGTGGGTTGGGTTTGGGGGGGGTGTGGTTGGTGTTGGTTTGGGGTTAGTTGGGGTTGGTGCAGGGTGTAAGTTTAGGGTAAGTTTAGGGTGGGCTTAGGATGGTTCAGGGGAGATTTAGGGTGAGGGTTAGGGCCAAGGGTTCGGGTTGTAGGGTGGGTTGGTTGTGGTTTAGGGTTGGCTTAGGTTTTGCTTAGGGTTGGTTCAGGGGTTCATATAGGATGCAAGGGTAGGATGTTCGCTACTGGATAGCATCCACAGCATCCCCAGCACCATCCCATTGATGCACATGATGCGGGGGGGGGAACCTACCCTTCAGGGGGGGGAGGCGGCCTGGCGACTGGAACATATATGTTTACATCTATGCATGGCCTATGTTTCCCGGTTTTCAGCGCTGTCGGGGTAGTGGAAACCTTCTTAGCGTTTTCTTGGCGTTGAATCGGACGGGGGTTTTGGGTCAAGACCAACCCAGACTAGTGTTGCATTCCGATGCTTTTGTTTGGGTGCTTCGAGGTCTGGAAAGAGGGAGCGGCCATGCACTCCGATACGGAACCTAAGTTCCCCAGAGACCATCGGCCTGAAAACAACCGTTTTTCGGGAGCGGATTCGAAATATATGCACGTCCTCTTATTTATATAAGAGGAAGCTGATCTTCCAGGCCTTCCACAGGTGTTATGCTAGTGGGGAGGAGGGCATATAGAAAGGCGCACTATCCCTACTATATACCTATGACAGTCCTTGCAACAACTCTGGTCAACTCCTTCTGCCTCCTTCGGGCCACAATGGATCCCAGAAAGGACCTTACTGGCCGGGTCCCAGAAGTGTCTCAGCAGGGTGGGTTGATTGTCATGAAACCCTGGTGACGTATGGAAACCATAGGGGGTGGCCATAGGGTAGCCGTAGCAGACTGACCATGCCGATTAGGCAGAGGTCCTTGTTGCTTCTTTCGCAGGGGTGGCTTTCAAATGGGTATGTTTTTGTTTGAGACCCGGGGACCCCCCAACATGTTGGTTTCGATGTGTGTTTCCCTTAAAGTCAACCACCCAAAAAGGGGTGCCCGCAAAAAGATACAAACCCAACTTACCTAAGTTACCTTTTGTGCCCTTGGAATCCTTGGACACTTGACGGTTAGAGACTTACTTTGGGGGGGGCCATTCAAGGACCATCAACGGCTATGATCTAGGGAAGTAGTACATAGCCCTAGTTCATACCTATTAGTACCCGTTTGCTTCCTTGTTGCCAACCCACTTTATAGGGGTTATATACTTATATATGTATATATATGTACCAGTCCCTGGGCCACGTACCCCCCCCCCCCCCAATGGTATGGTCCCCCCACTCCCCCGCATCATCCGCATCTTGGGGATGATGCTGGCAATGCTGGGGATGCTGTCCAGTACCGTGTGAGCCCTGCAGCTCCGGTCCCAGACTCCCCCTTTCACCCCGTGAACCAACACCCCCGCACCTGTCGCAACATCCTACCCTAAACCAAACCACCCTGCAACCCCTCCTTAACCCCAACCCTAAGCCTAAATCAACCCAAACCCCAAACCCACCCGAAACCCACCGCAAACCAACCTGAACCAACCCTAAACCAACCCACCAAGCCTAAACCAACTCCGAACCACACCCCAACCACCCAACCACCCCACCACCCCACCACCCCACCACCCCACCACCCCACCACCCCACCACCCCACCACCCCACCACCCCACCACCCCACCCCACCACCCACAGGGGGGGGGGTTGGGGGAGGGGGGGTTGGGTGGGGGGAGGGGGGGGGGGGTCCACGGCCTGGAACATATATATATATATATATATATGTATATGCAGTTTTGGGGGGAGAGGGGTATGAACATCAGCAAGCCTTTTGCGGTCAGTTGCAAAAGGGTATGCAAACGCGGTATCTAATCCATCTCTCTGTTTACCTTGCTATTTATCTACGGATCTATCTTTTTCTATTAATCAATGCATCTATCGATCTTGGCAAAGTGCTGCGCCTGCCAACAAGTCTGCACTTTACCGTGCGAACATGCTGTGCCTGTACCGCAAACCAATGTCACGAAACGTGCGCGCGTCCATGCCAATGGTCCCGGCTCCGAACACCCTCTGAACGTGGTCCAAACGTGGTCCGACCAGGCGTCGCGATCAGGATAACCTTGGACCATCCCGAGGAGCCGAAACCCGCAGGGGGTCGCGTTCTTAACACAAAATCCCTGCCACATGATGCGCTCGCGTTCTTTTCGTGCCTGCCTATTCTTCTCTTGTCACCTGTCTCAGCCAGTTATCTTTCAAAGTGTTGCCGTACCACGCACACTGCCTCCCTTGCGCCAGGCATGGGCATGGGGCTGCCCATGGGCGGTCCTCCGGGCTGTCCGGGCCCGCCGGGCGCCGTGCAGTTTGCGGCTCAGGAGCTGGAGTATTACCAGCAGCTCCTCAGTTGGTCAGTGGCACCCTTTTTTCCCTTTTTAGGTGGCTGCCCTAAAAATGGTCCCCAAGAAGGGTTCCCGTCTTTTTTTTGTCGCCGAACAAGTGAGGCTCTTCTCCTTCGCCAACCCGGGCGGCGCTTCGTTCATTCAAACGGGGGCACGGCACGTGGCCACGGCGATTGGGTCATGATTGGGCATAGTAGCTCCAAGAAAACGGAAAGGGGATCAGGATGTTATTCCATCAAGAGATGCAGAAGTTGATGGACCTGCTTTTTAACATGGGGTGTTCCGCTTCAAAAGTGATGCTGCAACCAAGAGCATCCTCATATTAGTCAATTGGGGTTTATTAAGACGTATCCCGTTTTGGATTGCTTTTCTTACTGGCGACCAGAGATGAATCCCCCAAGTTCCGCTACAAAAAGAGAGAACCCCCTGTGTCGTTGTCGTTTTCCGGCCGAAACTTGTCCCATGCGCATCGGCCGGACCCATCCATATCGTTTCGGCATGTTGGTCTATTTAAATATCATTGTCTCCTTTGATTGGTTTGGGGATGTGACCCCATGGGATTTCCCACCCACCTCCAAGCCGGGCATTTCGAGCTGACTATTCAAAGGTGACCGTGAGATGTTGCCAGACCGGCAGGGATGGTCCAGCGGCCTACCAAGGAAAGGGTTCCGAACGAGGGAGCTACTGATGGACGAAATCCATTTCTCCTGCACCACCTCAAGAAACCTGGACATGAGGCTTCCCCTGTAAATACCAAGAAACAATGGTTTGTCATGGTTTCTTAGGTGGTGCGAAGTGGATTTTGTCCATCCACCGTATCACCATTGCCTATGGATGATTTCCCCCCAGGCCCCCGATACAAACCTAATGATACCCTCCAAACGCAGTTTATCTCCACCGGCAAGCTTCGCATATGCCACACCCTTTGGATGTTTCCTACGATATACCCCTAATTAATGGATTTACTAAGCATTCTATTGTGCCCAGTTCTTCCGTGGCACGCTCTTTCCCCTTTCAACTGTGGGTTCACCAACAATGCCTGCCATTTGAGGCAGTTGTCACCAGGATATCGGTTTTGGGTGAGCCATTTCCTGTCGGTTTTGCAGGTTGAGTATCGTTTTCGGGTAGTCCGATACCGCATCGGTTTCTGCTGGCAATCTTATCATCTGATATCAGCTTATGAGTCGAAGTTAAACCACCGCCGATGTTTGTCCTTGGTTCGCTTAACCAGGGTTCTATGTTGGGGTTACGCTATTTCCGCCCAGCCATATGGCATATGGTAAAACAGCTAGGTGGAAATTCGGTTCCGAAGGGCCAACTTCCCAACTCGCCATTGGAACCGCAGCGGTTGGCTGAACCCCATGGCTCTGCAGCTCGTCAGAACGGGATGGGCCGGACGTTCCAAAGACCATGATCATGAGTTGACCGGCCAATATCTCGGTTGTTGTTGGGAAACATTTTACATGTTTGCTTATTGTGGTTTAGTGGTTGAAATCCCCACTTGGCTGCTAAAATTTAATTTGTTGCTCCCCTTTCAACGTCAAGCAAGATATTGTCCCAGTGATACCTGTGTGTACCACCTATTTGACTGTGAACAGCCAAGTAGCCCCGCAGTGTCCACGAGCTTAGGGGCCCTTGTTGCTATCTCCTCTCAAGGCACGTGACGGGGCCACGTGCCGGTCCCATATCTTTGACACCCCCATGAGGGTGTGGCACTTTTTTGCGGGCATCCCCTTTTGGCGATTTTTTTGCCGTTGTGGGCTGCAGGTTGGCAAGGTTGGTAAGTTGGTTTGTTGGTAGGTTGGTAGGTTGGCTGGAGACACCTTCAATGGAGTTTCCAACCAAAAAACGGACACCCCCAAGCTGAAGGCAGGGACGCCATTCACCAGCTGGCGGCCGCCGACTTTCTAATGTCCAGCCACCTGCCCCAGGCATCCGCGAAGCGAACATCTTGCGTGTGACAAGAGGTAGGCATGCATCCGAATGGGGGACTTGTCCTTTCAGTTTGGTTTCCCTTACTAAACAAGGGTACACTACAACATATATATATATATGTATATGTATATATATATATACATATATGTATGCTAAACCCTCCCTCTCCCGGACACCTTGAAGATGCAAGGCAGATTCTTCAGAGGCCTTTGACATAGTGGTCAAATGTTTCTTTAAGAAAGGCCTGGAAAGGAACTCCAATTCCTATTTAAAGTCTCACTCAAATTGACACGTCCAATTAATTTCTATGAAATTCCACTTAGAACCCTACTTGCTACTTGGAAAGGAATTCCAATGAAAACATCATTCACACAAGTCCAATTTAATTCTATTCAAAATCCTACTTGGAAATAGCCATCCCATTCAAATTCTATTTGGAACCTTGTGTGGAAAGGAATTATTTCTGGTACTCAAACTTAGTTCAAGATAAGAATTCCAACTGAACTATCAGGAACGTCCGACTTAAACTTGAAGCCTTGCAATTTATAACTTGCAAACCGATATGCTGAACATATGCTGAACTTGCATTTTCCTTGATTTGACTTTCACTTGTTCACTCCTTTTAAGGGGTAGGTAAATTAGAATAAACAACCAGCTTGTTTTTCCTCACTAGATTCTCTTTGTGGTTTGGCGCCCATCTTCTAGAGGACCCTGCTTTTTTTCTGTCTGTCGTGTCTGTGTTTTTCTGCTTTTTAACAAGCACATGTTTTTGTGTCAAAGCCTTTTCTTTTGGGGCCTTCTTCCGGAGGACCGTGTTTTATCCTGTTGTTTTGGCTTTTCGGCTATGTTTTGCTTTTTCTGGCTTTGGGTGGGTCCCAAAGGCGTACCATATATATATATATATATGGTCACCTCTCCAGGGCCTACCTTTCCTCTCTTCTAGTTGAAGGTGTCAACTTTACTCTGTGTGCCTCGTTCTTGCAAGTGCCTGAAAACACTGTAAAACACATGTTGTGTTGGTTTTTGACCTTCTGTATGACAGCAAATGTTTGCTGTTTTAAAGCTTGAAAGGCAACAAAGAGAGAAAGGATTCCGTTTTCAGATTTGAGTCTGGCTTTGGTTGAAAGCACGGGTTTTACAGTGGTTTTGAATACACCAGGCAACAAACATTGAAACCATGATGTGTTTTGCTGCTTTGAGCTCTGAAACCTGCACAGACCCAAAAGCACAACATCTTCTGAGAATGAAAGCTTTGAGACCAGCACATGCCAAAAACAAGGCAAGCGGCTCTCTGGGAGCCGTGTAACTGTCAGCGACAGCATTTTGCGTGTTTTGAAGTGCGAGAAGGCAAATTCACTGGTATTTGCGGTGTGTTTGCCTCATTTGACTCAAACTTCTTGCAACATGGGCTGTGCAAAGGGGGTCCCCGAAAAGTTCGTTTTTGGACCTAATTTGTGGACCTGTCAGCCGCGCGGCTCCCGCACTTTATACTATTGCGTGTCTTGCGCGCGACTAATCCCAAAGAGCCTTGGCCAGAAACTTTTGCGGATCTGAGCTCAATGCCTTCGCATTGTGCTTTGCAACGAAACTAAAGGCCCAGTCAAAAATGAGAGGATTGCAGCGGCTGTCTTTTTTCAGCTTTTGCTGCAGGCTCTCAGGGCTCCAGCGTTTCAATTGCTTCCATAAGGAATTCAGGGAACGAGGAATGCGCTCCAAGTGTGCTAGCAGGCCGGCTCATTTCGCATGGCCGAGGAATGTGGGATGCTGGAAGAAACATACGTAGTAAATATGCCCAAAACCCCGCTTGTTGGAACACATAAACATAATGCGAAAATGAACGCTTGGATTACACGAGAAGAAGCTGAAATGACCTAGGCTGGCGGCTCCGTCGGCTATGGAGCACATGACAGCAGAAATGGAAGCGCCGCATTCATTGGCCCCCCCCCCACCCCCCACCCCAAGCACAGGTGGTCGCAACAGAGAAGCGCCGCATTCATTCGCCCCCCCCCCCACCCCCCACCCCCCACCGCAAGCACAGGTGGTCGCAACAAAGAAGCGCCGCATTCATTCGCCCCCCCCCCCACCCCCCACCGCAAGCACAGGTGGTCGCAACAAAGAAGCGCCGCATTCATTGGCCCCCCCCCCCCCCCCCCCCCACCCCCACCCCAAGCACAGGTGGTCGCAACAAAGAAGCGCCGCATTCATTGGCAACCCCCCCCCCCCACCCCCCACCCCAAGCACAGGTGGTCGCAACAAGAAGCGCCGCATTCATTGGCCCCCCCCCCCCCCCCGCCACCCCCCACCCAGCGCAACCTTCACCGTCCCCCCCACCCCCCACCCCCCCACCCCCCTCCCCAACCCCAAGACTCAGATTCGATGACAGTTACACGGCTCCGAGAGAGCCGGCTGCCAAAAACAACTCCAGACCAATTTTGGCAAGGAAGGTACAAGGGGATGGATTAGGGTTGCGGGAAGGGGATTTATGTTACCAGGGAACCTGCCCTTGGCGAGAATCTGTCTTCGCGAAGGCCTCCTGCATCATAAACAACCACATGAAAAGCGTCCGGCCTCAGAGGGTCTGTCTACTTCTTCCTTTCGGCTCAGGCAAGTCCTGATTCCCTTGGTGACGGCATTTACCACACTGTAGGGAGCCGTGTGCAATTAGATGCACAGTCTTACTCGAAAACCTCTTTGGTTTCCAAACAGACACGGCCTGACCTGGGTCGAACAATTTTCAATCAGGTCTTGTCAAATATCGTGTAACCCCAAAATGGGTTGCCCGATCGGTAAATGGAAACAAGGACTCGTTTTTTTTTTTGGGTGGCATTTGTTTTGACCCATACCCAGTTTCGGACGGCGCCTTGATTTCAGGAGGCGCTGCATCAGATTTGGGAAATCAGCGCGGACGGCGCCGCAGATTTGAATGCGGAGCGCTTCTGTCTGGCCTGCCGCTTGGTGGCTTGGGCGCAGCAGGCGCGATTCACGATGATTGGCCTTTGGTGTGACCCAGCGGCCTGTTGGAAGCCAATGGGCCAGTTTGGTTTCTTTCTTTTTCTGTTGATTTGAGGGGAAAATACAAGGAACACCTCCACTATGGAGGGGGTCCAAATGGGTCTGTCGTCCAGCGAAACCTTTTTTGATGGGTTTTAAGGGGACAATACAAGAACAATCCTCAAACACACGGTTCCATCAGCCAGGAGATTAGGAGGTCATTTGCTCACAAGAGCAACCGAGAAAAAAAAGCTGAAGAGCCCAAACGACTTGATAGTTTAAGCAAATACTATGAAAGATACTCAGAACAGCTTATTATTCGAGTTTATGCATGCTATCAAGGCACAAAGGTCACCCCTAATTCACGCCGCAGTGCTCCGCTCAAGAGCCATCAGAAAGCCACAGACACGAGAACGAGGTAAGCAAGGACCATGGCCGTGATCTTGGCTTTCTTGGCGACTGCTGCCGCCTACCCCGCAAACTTGAACTGCGACTTCGCCTGCATGGGCAACTATATGCCCGGCAGCAGCTTCGGGTACATGAGCATTGCCAGCATTGGCAACGAGACGGGCACCAACTGCGTGGTCACCACAAACATCCCTTCCAGTCGCCTAGCGCAGGGGGCAGGGGGCGGGCAATGCATTCTGTGGTTGTATATGATTTTTCATCGGGAGTTTAACATGGTTGCCGGACATAATCGCTGATGTCCCCAAGCGTCCCACAAGACCACAAACCATAACCTTTCCGATAATTTTTCAGCACGAGCTGCCAAACAAAAGTGGTGGCCCGGTTTTTGGCCCTTTGCTCGTCGAGGTGGGCCTATGGCAAATGAGACCTACACAGTGACGGTGACTTCGACGACCTCTTTGGCACAGAAAGTCGTGGCCAGCACAGGAGACTTCAGCAGCAGCATGGTGTCCAACACTGGACGCTCGAAAAAAAAATGGAACAAAAACAAAAACAAAAAAACACGTCGTTCAACGTCTTGACCAGGTGGCCACTTGGGTGTCGTGTTCTGTTCGAGGGTTGTTAGGGACACCAAAAGGTTAGCAAGCGCCGAAAGTAGGTAGTTGCAACCTTGGTTATATAGCTCTATGATTCAATGCACCGTGCAAGATCTGGTATCAAAAAGCCTGATGCGTTGCCAAGTGTTTGGCCAGGAAAGGGAACCTCTCAAACACACTCCTGGACTGCCAGCGACAGCTCGCCTGTGACCTTTCGAGTTCTTTGTGGCTCATCCCAGGAGATGTGGCATCTTGGGGCTGATTTGGATCTTGCCATTTTGACCCATTTCAGGCATTTAACCTTTGGCGTCATTGAATTTACCGATATAGGTTTTTGGGAGCCCGCCAGAGAGTTCCCTGGAAAGGAAAATTGTCCAAACAAACGACATCAAGTCAGGCTCCATGCTATCGGCTGGATCTTTATCTTTCAACGCTTTGCAAACATTAGCTAAACTTTGGCATCTTTAATCTTGTTATCTGGTTACATCTTGGGCAGGACCTTTCCAATGTTTTCTTGGCCATGTCAAGAACATATTAGCCATTAAACCTTTGGTTTGGGAGGGACATACCAATTTTTACATGTGCCGTTTGGGGAGCATGCCTGTGCGTGCTTGTTTGCGTCCGTGCGTGCGTCCGTGCGTGTGTGCGTGCGCGCACGTGCGTGCGCGTGCGTGTGGTCGTGCGTGCGCTCGCGTGCCCAGGTTTGTGTGTGTGTGTGTGTTGTGTGTGTAGGTGTGTTTGCACGCAACGAAACGTTGTTGTCCCACCTAATTACACCACCAGAGAGTCCCGTTTGGAGGAAGGAGGGTACACTTTTGCACCGAGCGCCTTTCCGCCTCCAAGGTATGCCGACACCATGGCAAGCACCACAACCACAGCCACCACCACAACCATGGGAGCCACAACCACCGGAGCGAGCACGGTGAGCACGGCCATGAGTGGAGCAACAGCGTTTTTGCCGCTTTTTGCAATGTTAGCCTTGAACCTTGGCTCAGCTACACTTGGAAGAACACCGGTCCCACATCCGATATATGGTTGACGCAGAATAACCACGTGTTAAGTGGGGTGGTAATCTAAGCAGACTGTACTACTTTTTAGAGTTTAGAGGCCTTCTTTCAATAACGTATCTGACCAAAACTGGTTCCGACTTACAGGAATGTGTTACTTACTGTGGACAAAATCCTGCACTTGGGGAGAGATGAAACTCTATGAATACTGGAATATACCCAGCGACTGCTGCAGGATTTTGTCCATCCGTGACGTTCCACAAAAGGGTCAACTCTTTGGAACTAAGGAGCGTTTGAACTGGCGCCGCAGCAGTCCGTGCCAATGACACTCGCATTGCTGTGTTTGCTTACTTTTTAGAGTGTAGCGGGATTTGTGACATTTCCGACTAAGACTTGTTCCGACTTTTCGACTTTTTGGAGCTTACACGATTGTGTGACATACTGTGGACAAAAATCCTGCACGGGGGGACGGATGAAACCAATAGCGGAATAGACCTGCCGACTGGTGACCAGGTTTTGTCCACCTACAGTATTCAACGAAAAGGTCAATTTTTAGCAAAGTATCGACGGACCACCGAGGACCTGTGACCCGGAGCCGCAACAGTCCGTGGCAATGACACTCGGATTGCCGTGTTTCCTAGCGGTTTGTTGATGCAAGTAGCATACCGTGGGCGAGCCACGAGCCTGAACCAATCCACGAAGCTGGATAAAAGAGAGAGCCAGGCATCACAGGTTGAACCTTCGGGCAACCCAGTGAATCGGACATTTTAGGAGTGTCCAGCGAGAGTGAATCTTCTCCGGATGCATTGTCTCATAAGAACGGATTTGGCAGAGGTGTGGTTCGAGGACAGGGAGCCTTTGCAGGAAACGGCGAAAAGCAAGCAAATGTTTTGGAACTTGAGTGGCAAACAACAGGAGGAGCAGTTTTCTGAGGGACTCCAACCCTTGTCATCGTGAATCAGTGAACTTGTAAAAGCAAGGTGTTTCGGAGCTTCCGCCGAGCTTTCAGTCACGCCGCAGTGCTCCGCTCAAGAGCCATCGAAAAGCCACAGAGACGAGAACGAGGTAGACTTGGAGCTTGCCTGGGGTTTGCCTAGGGCTTCCCAGTTGTTTTTTTCTTCGTTCCTTGAATTCCTTGGGGTTTCCTCAAGTGTCCCTCTCCTTTCCCTCGAGTTTCCTTAGGCTTCCGCGGGGCTTCCTTCGGTTCCTTCGGTTCCTGCACTTTGCCTGGTCTCTTCCTTGGCTGTCCTGCGGTTTCCCTTGTTTTTGGTTTCCATGGGGTGTCCTGGGGCCGCCATGATCTTGGCTTTCTTGGCGACTGCCGCCGCCTACCCGTCGAGCCTAACCTGCGACTTTGCCTGCATGGGCAACTATATGCCCGGCAGCAGCTTCGGGTACATGGGCGTTGCCAACATTGGCAACGAGACGGGCACCAACTGCGTGGTCACCACAAACATCCCTTCCAGTCGCCTAGCGCAGAAAGCGGGCAAATACATTGCGTCCTTTGAAATGTTTGATGCGCAGTGTTCAGGAGAACGCTGTTCAACAGTTGACGGACATACTCCCCAAGTGGCTGGTGTGCACCAAGGGGCCCAACAGATATGATCTTTCCTCATTTCGATGAAACAAGTAGTGAGGGGGGCTGGCCAAAAAAGCGCAACTCCACAAAGCTTTGTTCCAATACTACAGGCATCGCCAATACGGCTTAATCGGGTGGGAACAAAGTTGATGCAAATCCCAAGGCCCTCTGCCCCCCAAGTTCAATTTTGAAGGCTGGCAAGTCGCTGGCTTCAAGATTGACTTGGCAGGGCTGAGGACTCCTATCCGCTGTCCGCTTTGACGATGGCTGTTTTTGTTCCGAAGAACCCCCGAATATGCTTTTCGAGTGATCAGTTGGCTAATAAGTTCCAGCAAAACACACACACACACACACACTCTCGCAACACGTCCAGCTTATCAAGAATTTACAGTTTGCATCCGTTGCGAGTTATCATGACCACTTTCACATTTCCATAGCGGAGGCAGCCGCAAACTTCAACAAATACCAACGCATGCAGTGTGTTCACACATGGTCGTGTCGCGCTGTTGTATGTGCGTTGCGCTTGTGCTACATGACACTTGCACGCGGCGTGCAGTCCAACTGCTCATGGTCTCCAGCAAGAGAAGACGCAGAGCGGGAATTTCAGGCTTCGGCCTGGCGCAGCTGTCCTTCGGCCATTGGCCTCTTGGTCCGGCAGCCTCAGGCTCCAGCCTGTCACTGCCTCCTGCTGAGCCTTGCCACTCCAGTGAAGCACAGCTGGCAGCGCGCTTTCCTGGCCCAGTTCAAGTGGTCAGCCAGCGCGGGCACGGCCCAGTGGGCGACCGCGACGCCGCGTTTCGAATTGGCCGACCCCGGGCTTGAGCTTCGGGCCCCGAGTCAGTCGACTCGACCGCAACCTGGGTGAAGGGAGACAACGATGGCTTTCACTAGCCTAGGCGGACCGGGGGGGCTTGGTGGGGGCGAGGCCATCTCTGCGCACGCCTCTGTGGGCCTTGGGGAGTTCATGGCGGCTTTTTTTGGGTGGCCCCGTTGGCGGCAGAGCCCTGCAGGTCTCATCCGCTTAGTAATTCACGCCCCCCAAACACGTTAATTCCTGGACTGGCTCACTCTGTCTCCGTCTCTGATTGTCTCCCTTCATATGTGCTTCAACCTGGTCCAGTCGGGCGGGTTCCTGCCGCTTTGTCTTCCCGTGTCTTCCTTCGTATCTGCTCCACGGCGGTCAAGGTCTGGTCTCGCCTTGTCTCCCTTTATCAGCTGGTCGCAAAACGAGGTTGTCTAAGCGTTTTGGTCAGAAAAACTTGCTTGGCTGTGGGCAAGCCCAGCGAGGTGGGTTCGTGACCAATGAGACCTACACAGTGACGGTGACTTCGATGACCAATTTGGCACAGAGGGTGGTGGCCAGCGCGGGAAACTTCGGCATCAACGGCATGGTGTCCAACACTGGAGCGTATTTTGGACGCTCAGCCAAAAAACATGTCGAAGGCGCGACAAAAGCGCAACCCTTAATTACAGGTCTGGGTCTCGTGTTTTTGTTTTGCGAGGCTCACAAGGACACCAAAGGGACGGTAGCCATTTTTGGTGCGGTCCTTCCAGAGCGGCCCAATATGTCCTGTGAAGGCCCACTGAAACTAAGTCTTACGTAGGCTTACCAAGGCCTTGTTGCAAGGGGCTGTACAGAGTTGTTTTTGTTCATTTCATGTTGGCTGGTCATGCTCATTGCTTAGGTTCAAGCTCCGAAAGTAGGTAGTTGCAACCATGGTTATATAGCTCAACTAACGCTGGTTGCGGGCCGAGCAGCTAGTTTTGTGGGATTTTCAATGAACTGAGGGGCCCCAGTATCAACAAGCCTGATGGCAAGGAAAGGGAACCTCCGAAATACATTCCTGGACTGCCAGCGGCGACAGCTCGTCTGTGACCTTTCGAGTTCTTTGTGGGTCTTCCCAGGAGATGTGGCGTCTTGGATCTGCTGATTTGGTTTGATTGGATTTACCGGTTTTTACCTTTCACTTTTTGGCCACCCGGCAGAGAGCCCCGTTTGGAGGAACAATGTCCAAACAAGCGGCACCCAGTGAGGTTCCTTGCTAGCGGTTATCCTTTAAATGTTTAATTTGGTGTTTGGTTAGATGTTTGTCATGTTGCCGCGTTTCCTTATCGCGTCCAACAAATGCTAGCCAATACCATTTGGTCTCAGGGGTTTGCCCGTTTAATGTTTCTTTGACTATTGTGCGTGGAAACAGTTTTGCGTAGAGAAACATATATATATATATACATATACGTAGATAGATACACATGTGCGTTTCACACGAAGAAACCCTCCCATCAAAGCGGTCTTCCGTAAGCATTTTGCACAGGGCCTTTGCGGCAAGGTATGCCGACACCATGGTAAGCGCCGCCACCACCACTTCAACCACAAACACGGGAACCACAACCACAGCAGCGACCGTGAACATGGCCATGAGATCCATGAGTGCAGCGCCGGCGTTGCCGCTGCTCGCGATGCTGGCCTTGAACCTTGGCGCAGCACTCGGATGACCATGCTTGATACCCAAAATACTAATCTGCAGAAATAAGAAGCTATTTTCTGGGCGTAAGCAGGGTTGCAATCTGAGTAGACTGTAATACTTTTTCGAGTTTAGAGGCTTTTTCAATCCAACTAAGACTGGTTCCGACTTGTAGGCTCTTTGGAGTTTCCAGGAATGTGTGGCGTACCGTGGACAAAATTCAGCACTTGGGGCTGGATGAAACCCTATGAATTCTGGAATAGACTTAGCGACTGCTGGGAATAGAGGATGTTTCAAAATTTAATTTGATGGATGCACCAAATGCACTAACTTTGGCAAAGGCGTTTAAGGTTTAAGAGCATTGGAACGTGTTGGTGATACTAATAGAATAACTGATCTAGATAGAGCATATGTCAATTACCAGTTATTCCAAGAATTGCTCAGGCAATATTATGCTGATGGTTCTTCAGGGAGTACCTTCAATGCAGGCTTTAAACTGTTTATGATTACACCTAAGGCAATACTATTTGCAGTATCTTTGGTTCCAGCATGGTTTCTTTGGAGTCCTCCCCTGGCAGCCAAGATTGATTTGTTAAGTTCCTTTTGTAAATTAGGTCAGTATTGCCCTTTTACCCTTTTTTTGGGGAGGGTTCCCCTGCGAAAAATTATAACCTCTCTACTGGAGGACCTAGTAAAGCTTGTACAGCTTCTTTCTTGTAGCTGCAGGATTTTGTCCAGCCGCAGTATGCCACAAAAAAAGTGACAACTTTAGCAACGGATCCACGGACAGCCAAGGAGCGTTTGAACTGGCGCCGCGCAATGACACACAGATTGCGTTGTTTTCTTGCGCAGCCAGTAGACCAATGCAAGCATCATACCCTGCCATACCTACTTGCATGGCATGGGCGAGGCACAAGCCTGACCAATGAGATTCCACGACGCTGGGCAAAAAAGGCAGGCAGGAGTCAAATTGGCCAACTGAGCCTTCACCGGATGCATTGCTCAGTCGAACGGATGTGGCAGAGGTGTGGTTTGAGGACAAGCCTCTGCAGGAAATGAGGGGCTGACAGAAAGCACATGTTTGGATCTTTGGTGGTGGCGAACCAACACGAAGAGCAGTTTTCTGAGGGACTCCAACCCTTGTCATCGTGAATCAGTGAACTTGAAACAGCAAGGTGTTGGTGAGTTTCCCGCATTACTTCGCCGAACTTTTTGTGTGTCAAGTTCGCCCCGAATTCATGCCGCAGTGCTCCGCTCAAGAGCCATCAGAAAGCCGCAGAGACGACAACGAGGTAGACAAGTACCATGTTCGTGATCTTGGCTTTCTTGGCGACTGCTGCCGCCTACCCGACGAGCCTAAGCTGCGACTTCGCCTGCATGGGCAACTATATGCCCGGCAGCAGCTTCGGGTACATGGGCGTTGCCAACGTGGGCAACGAGACGGGCACCAACTGCGTGGTCACGACCGACATCCCTTCCAGTCGCCTAGCGCCAAAAGGCATCACGTGGTTATGATTATCATGGTCTTGCCAGTGATGTCCACCAAGGGTTCCAGCACGAGTGATTTCTATTCCAATTTTGATGACACTGCGCATGAACTGCCTTCGACAAGAGTGTGGCCCTGAGCGTCTCTCTGGTGTCTTAGGGCCCATTTCTGAATGTTCAATGCAAGAACGAGGCTTTGTCTAAAACAAGTTCAGAAATACTTGCCCGGTTCTTGGCAGCCCCCGCGATATTCGGCTTGGTGGCTTTCCACTGTGTGTTGCTTCAAAAGGGGACACTTAAGAGTGCAAAGGTTGGGTTCTGTGTGGGTGTCGTTTCAAGCACGCTTCATGGGGGCCGGAGGTTTTCGGGGTGCATTTCGGTTTGTCTTAAAATCAGGGAACCAAACAGTCCTCCCCGAAGACAATACCGATCCTTTGCTTTCCTGTTGGCTTTCCTTTCGCCAAAGATGGCTTCCCTAAAGAAAGACCACCCCGCCGCATTTGCCAGTCCTGACTCTTTCCCATACAGGCAAAAGGATTAAAAGCACTGCACGCGTGTAGGAAGGTTGAAATCTTGCCTTGAGCTTGGGCTATGAAATGTTGGGGTTCCATTTCGATTCATCCACCACAAGGGCGCCCTTTCCTATTTCAATCATTTCAGCGAGGTGGGTGTCCGTCTTTCCCATGAACATTCACAGTCTGGGTTTCCATGCAACAACCTTCAAAAAGGCTCTCTGTCAAGCCATTCGTTTGGGGGTTTTGCATGCGAGGTGGGCCTATGGCGGGTGAGAACTACACAGTGACGGTGACTTCAACAACCAAGTTGGCACAGAAGGTGGTGGCAAGCTCAGGCAATTTCGGCAGCGACGGCATGGTGTCCAACGCCGGAGGCCCGACAAAAGATGCAATCTTGAAAAAGAGACAGAGAGACAGAAAGAGACGGAGAGAGAGAGAGAGAGAGAGAGAGAGAAAGACAGAGAGACTGCGAGACAGCAAGAGAGAGAGAGAGAGAGAGAGCCGCAAGGGGCCACGTGTGTTTGGTCTTTTTCTTTGTCTCTCTCTCTGTCTCTTTCTGTGTCTCTCTTTCTCTCTCTCTCTCTCTGTCTCTCTCTGTCTCTCTTTGTCTCTTTCTGTGTCTCTCTCTGTCTCTTTGTCTCTCTCTGTCTCTTTTTTTTTCTGTCTCTCCCTGTCTCTCTCTGTCTCTCTCTCTTTCTCTCTCTCTCTCTCTCTCTGTCTCTCCCTGTCTCTCCCTGTCTCTCTCTGTCTCTCTCTGTCTATCTTTGTCTCTCTCTCTGTCTCTCTCTCTCTCTCTGTCTCTGTCTGTCTCTCTCTGTCTCTCTCTGTCTCTCTCTGTCTCTCTCTGTCTCTCTCTGTCTCTCTCTCTGTCTCTCTCTGTCTCTCTCTGTTTCTCTCTGTCTCTCTCTGTCCCTCTCTCTGTCTCTCTCTCCCTCTCTCTCTCTCTGTCTCTGTGTCTCTCTGTCTCTCTCTCTCTCTCTCTCTTTCTGTCTCTCTCTCTCGCTATCTCTCTCTTGTATCAATGTACATGCAGTGTTGTACTACATAGCTTGTACATGACCGCAGGCCTTGAGCTTTTCACTACATCAAGAGCCCATGCAAAATAGGAGCTTCGCAGACTACAGGTTTGTGTGTGTTAACAACATTACAACACTTGCACTTGTAGTAAACAACAGTCAGAATTTAACGTGGTAGTGGAGCTGAGCCTAAACATAGGGGAGCTCCAGTATACAGCAGTAAGTGCTACAACAACTGCAACAGCAATCGCATGCCAGACTACTACGACATGTCAGGAGAAGCAGCAACAGCTCCAGCGCAGCAAACTACAGGAACACAGAATGAGCCAACAGCAGAAACAGTAGGAGCCACGACCACGGGAGCAGGAACAGAACAAGACAACGCCGTTCAGAGACAACACAAACTGCCACCACGATTCTTCGCTGGTGACTACTCCCAGTATGAAGAATGGCTGTTCAAGCTACAAGCATACCTCGGACTCATAGACCGAGACTTCGACCTGGTGCTACAACTGGCACAAGTAGCTACACGACAAACTGAGGATGCAGACATCACAGCACAAATACGCGACCCTTCACAAGCAAGCAAAGCAGTAGACCTCGCCAGAGATTTACGCCACATCCTCATCAACATATTAAATATGTCAGGGAGCAGCAGCTACACAGTAAGGCAAAACCGCTACAACGCAATTGGATGTGAAATACTACGACTCTTGCACAACAGGTTCACCAGTAGGAACACGCTATCTCACCAAACTACTGGGGCCTACATTCAACGCAGGGCAGTTTGAAGAGCAATTCCTACAATGGGAATACGACATCAACCGCTACGAGAAAGACAACGGCGCAGCGCTACAAGACGGAGTAAAGATTGCAATGCTACTCAACAAGACCAAAGGAGCACTGCAACAACATCTCCAACTACGAGCTGGACAGATCACGAACTACAACGAGATCAGAGCAGTCACCCTGGACTACAAGGCGATCTCTGCTTTCTCAAGAGCGACTTCAGCTGTAGGCACAAACTAGAATGGAGGACCTGCGCCAATGGACGTTGACAACATTTGGAGAAAAGGAAGAAACTACAAAGGCAAAGGAAAAGGCACAGGCCACTACGAAGGAAGCAAAGGCAAAGGCAAGTGCCTGTGTGGCACATAGGAGAAGGAGAAGAACTACATCCGCCAGACCAAGAACAAGCTGATCAGGACAACAATGAGGAACTACCTCAGGATCTCAACGACACTTGGGACTGGCACTACGAAGGAGAAGAAGGACATGGACACGAGGTGAACTACATGGAGTAGAGTTGGAAAGACTACGCGTATGACAACAACTGGGATTGGAATGACAACACAAACAAACCCAAATCACTACTTGGAAAGAAAGCATCACACACAACACCATGGAACGACCACGGCAAAAGCGTTCAACAATTTCTACAAGAAGACACAACACAACTGCAATTCGGCATAGCAGCAGCAACACAAAAGCAAAGAGACACAAGGAGATGGATGACAACATCACACACTACATGATGTACTCCAACTTCAAGTCATACCACCACCTGCTGATCGACTCAGGAGCATCTACACATGTTTGCCCAAAGGACTTCGCACCAGATCTACCACTGTGACCTTGTGGAGAATCAGTTCCACAACTCTACACGGTCACCAACAAGAAGATTCCTGTCCATAGCATCAAGTATGTTCCCTACAGGCAGGACCACTTCAGGATCATGGATCATGATACACTACTACGTTTGTGATGCGAAGTGTCCTGTCCTCCTCAGTGCATCAAGACTATAGAGGATAGTGACTCGACTTCAACCCACGACACTGCACCATCACCATGGACAACAACAAGCGCACCTCATCAGACACCCAGGACTCTTCTACCTACGAGCAGAAAAGATCGACACCCCTACAGGACACGGCATCTATCCAATGACTACAGACAATGGGAAGCCCATTAAAGAAAGCAAGACAACAACAAGAACAAATTGCACCACTAACGCACACAGACCAAGGACTGAGACAAATCCTTGGTGGAAATACTGACTACTGGAAACCGATGGTGACTACGCCATCAGAGTCCACAAGCGACCACACAAAGCACTCTTCCCGCCGCACAACAGCGGCTGCCCATTACCAGAAGCAGAACTAGATGATTGGCGACTAACCATCATCAACAGACAAGGGCAAGAGCAAGAACAACTACAAGAAACCCCAAACAACTTTCCAAACAAGAACTACAAAGAAGACTGGAAGGTGACAACTGGACTGGAGAAGCCCGATTCAACAGAAAGATCACACCTACACGCAGAGCAACATCAAAGACCACACCAACAAGAAAGAGCTCACAACCACAACAACTGTTGGAGACCACCAACAAAGCCAAAGATACAATTACGAGCTTCACAAAAGATATGGAGACCTAAAGCGTCTCTACAGACCTTGGTACCACACAACCGCCACACACAAACCACTCACAGCACCAGACAACCAAGACTACTGGGAAAGACAAGGTGAACGCTGGATAAGACACCACGTATCACTTAGAACTACATTGTTCACTCCCACAGATGGGCCAGGACATCGACCAATCAACACTCGAACCTCACAGCACTGCAATCACCAACAACAACTTTGGAGAAGTTTCGCAACGCAAAGATGACTGGACAGTCATAGGCAATGCAGCACTACCATTTCAATGGAATGGCGCAACAAGGTTCACCATAAAGAAAGACCCCGAAAACATCCAGGAGTACTACGACAAGGAGCAACCACGAACACCATGAAGCACACAGGGCAAGAGGACTACGACAACCACAGCAACCAACTCCACAACAAATTTCAGCACACAACTTGACTCACCTACCGTACAGAAATTGGTGTCCAATTTGCGTGCAAGGCAAGGGACGCCAAGACAGCTACAAGAAACAACAATCACGACAACCCATCATTCAAGTAGAGTGCTGGTGCATGTGCTGGTGACGGTACGGGCACAAGGTGCTATGACGCATGCAAGTTGAGGCGCTGGCGCGGGTGCTGTTTGGTGTGCTGGTTTCGGGGTGCTGTTTGAGGTGCTGGCGACGGCGCGGGCGCATTCTTGCGAGATTTACGGCGGCGTGCTAGGGGGCATGCAGTTTGGGGTGCTGGTCCAGGTGTCGTTTGAGCCGCGGGCGTCATGTTTGCGAGATTGGCGGCCGGGTGCGGGGCATGCAGTTTGGCAGGTGCTGATGCTGCTTGAGGTGCTGGTGATGGTGCGGGCCCGTTTTTGCGAGATTGACGGCAGGGTGCTGCTCGGGGTGCTGGAGGGCATTTTGCGAGATTGAGGGCAGGGCGCTTGGGGGCATGCAGTTTTGGGTGCTGGTGCAGCTTTCGCTATCTGGGTTCTATTTTGCTGTAGTTTGTTTGTTTGTTTGTTTGTTTGTTTGTGGTTTCGTGTTTATGCATCCCGTTCATTGCTTGGATGCTCCAACACGCTTGTCATCCATGTCAGCAAAGCTCAGCCAACTGCAGTTGTCCCACTGCTCAAAGATCCATTTGGCGAAATACAAAGTCACTTTGCGCCGTTTGAGCAGATGACTGGGAAATGTATCAAGAACCCCTGCTGGCTTTGGCGGAACCGTCGCCCCTGTCCTTTCGGAAACAAATATTTGTGCAAATGTTTCCCTACAATATGTGAATGTGTCTTGGTTCCCCGTTTTTTGCGTTTGTAAAGGAAACCCAAAAGGAACACCGAAACCATTTTGGAGGCCCCCTAGGCCGGACCCCCACGTCGACCTTTGCTGGACATGTATCGACCAAAAAACATGCACCGAGTGCGTCGAATCGACAGGAAAGGTTATGTCTCAAGCACATACTTGGACTGCGGGCGACAGCTCAGTGACCTTCCGAGTTCTTTGTGGCTCTTCCCAGGAGATGTGGCATCTTGGAGCTGATTTGGATCTTTTTGGCTTTAGCATGGTTTGACATACTTTAGACGTTAATTTTTGGTTTTGTCATGGTTCTGTGAAACTAAGGAAACAGATCGTCTTTAATTCGAACGTTGTTTTGTTTGGGTGGTGTTCTGTGCTGAACCAGAGTTTCGCTGTTGCGAATGGGCCTTTCCATCAAGGTATGCTGATGCCATGGTGGGCACCACTACAACGGCAACCACAACGACAGCAGTGAGCGGAGTACCGGCTACGGCCATGATCCGAGCAGCCGCTTTTGTTCCTCTTTTCGCCTTGTTGGGCGTTTGAACCTTTGAACCCGAGTGAGCTGCCGCTGCAGCACTCCGTGGCAATGACACACGGAGGTTGCGGCGCCAGTTGACCAAAGTACTACACCCTGCCTAACTTGCTTGCACGGGTGAGATACTAAGCGCTGCGCATGCAGCTTACAGTAGCTTGGAAGATTCCACAACGCTGGAAAAGTGAGCAAAGCGCCATGGATCCAGCTTACCAACCCAGTGAGACCTTCTGATCTGGGGATGTGAAAGGGCTAGGCATGGCAAAAAACATTTTCAGCTACCAATCGGTTTGGATTGCCTCAAGCCCTGCCAATCGTTGGTCAGGGCGTGCTGGACCCCGGCTGCGTGTACCGCGAGCCCCCGCTGCTCCCGGACTTCCCGGGCCTCGGCGGCCCGCGCTCCGCGGCGAACTCCGCGGCCTCGCGGGCGCCGTCCGCGGGCTCGGAGCGCTCGGATCTGCCGGTGATCCGGAGAAGAGGCGAGGCATGTTGCCCCTTTTTGATGGGGGAGGGGCAAATGTTCAATGAGCAGGAACGAGTCGAAAAATGTTCCAAAAGCAAACTCGCGAGTTGGATGTTTGCCAGCACCAGCCAGGTGTCCTTTTTGCTGGGTTTTCCTGGATCAAGGCAAAACTAGAGGACGAGTGGCCCGGAAGCATAGAGGCAAGTTAGTTATTAGCGATCAAGTAGTCTAGTCGCGACAAGCTGCACACAGACAGATTCCGCTTTTTGTCAGTAGCTCGAATATGGTACGAAAAGTTGAGGAATTTCATGCACTTCTCAGTGCAGGTTCTCCCTGCTCATCGCGATCTTGCCCACCATCATGTCGCGCGTGTAGATCGAGTGGCTCGGCATGTGGATCTCGATGATGCATACCATGCTTCGGGCGGCTCCAACATGAACAAACAGGCAGCAAGCAAACTACCGCGATGTTGATTTTTTTGCCGCGCTAGCTTGAACCAACCACCAGGCGCGTGGCGCGGAAGGCGAGGCGGGGGAGAACCAACACCTGAGGCACCGTGGAGAAACCACCACCACCTGGGCGAAGCGAAACTGGAGCGAAGCTCCTGGACATGCAGGCAACTTACAAATGCAAATGCAGAAGTGTGGCACGGAGGTTGTTCAATCTGCTGATGTTGTCCGGCTTCACTCGGCTTCCCTTGGCTTCACTCGAGTGCAACAGCGTGCAGGCAGCACAACTGCTCAAGCATGTTATGTAGGTTGTTCAATCTGCTGATGTTGTCTGGCTTCACTCGGCTTCCCTCGGCTTCACTCGACAGGCAAACGTGGAGTCCACACTAAGCGCTCAAGCATGTCACGCAGGTTGCTCAATGTGCTGATGTTTTCAAAGTGGCAGCATCGAGGAAGATCGCGAAGCGCATGTTAAAAGATACGGCGGCTGCATGCTGCGCGCGAAGCTGTGCGTGGCGGCGGTGTGTGATGCTGCGCGCGATGCTGCGCATGACGTGGGTGTGACAAAACAAGACTAAAACATAACACAGTAATAAATCACACGCGCCACATGCCCAGGTGCTTGAGAGCCCCGCCGCGCGTCAAGCCGGAACATAGGAACTGCTCCGCAGCTAACTCTACGCGGCAAAGGGCGAGAATTGCTCCGCGCCAGCTTGAACCAACCACCAGGCGCGTGGCGCGGAAGGCGAGGCGGGGGAGAACCAACACCTGAGGCACCGTGGAGAAACCACCACCACCTGATCGGAGCGAGGCCGGAGCGCAGGAAACTTACATAACGAGGTCTCAATGCAAACGCACAAGCGTGTCATGTAGGTTGCTCAATCTGCTGATGTTGTCCGGCTTCACTCGGCTTCCCTTGGCTTCCCTCGGCTTCACTCAAGTGCAACAGCGTGCAAGCAGCACAAATGCTCAAGCGTGTCATGTAGGTTGTTCAATCTGCTGATGTTGTCCGGCTTCACTCGGCTTCCCTCGGCTCCACTCAAGTGCAACATCGTGCAATGAGCACAAATGCTCAAGCTGCTGATGTGAGTTGTTCAATCTGCTGATGTTGTCCGGCTTCACTCGGCTTCCCTCGAAGAGCAAAACGTGGAGTCAGTGCAAGCGCTCAAGCGTGTCACGCAGGTTGCTCAATGTGCTGATGTTGTCTGGCAGCTTCTCTTACCAACTTTTCGAGAATTACTTCGCCTGTCGCCTATGTTGCTTCCGGGCCACTCGTCTGCATGCTGCGCGCCAAGGTGTGCGTGGCACGGTGCGTGACGCTGCGCGCGATGCTGCGCATGCTGTGGCATATGATGCTGCGCGTGAGGCTGCGCGTGGCGGACTTTGACTCGAGCGTGCGTCGCGCCGGAGTTTTCCGCCTGCGCACAAGCAAGAAGCAAAAGCCTAGAGCGCTCGTGACTCGCTCGCATTGTTGTTGCTCGTCGCGTGCGAGGCGGGTGTCACGCACTTGCAGACAGTCTGCCACTGAGACAACAGAGCTTCGAAAACATTCGCCTGCTCGTTGCACTCAGCAACAAGCCGTGCATCACTACCTGCGCGCTCAGTCTCTACTCACTCACGAGGTAATTATGCTGACCGGAGGAGTCACAAAGATCACGCTCGCCAAGGTCGTCCTTGCAGTCGCCGAAGTCTAACCGCCAAGAAGTTCGACTTTGCTCCACCGCGTACAGAGCCCACAGCACGTATCTCCGATGACGCCATGGACGAAGGCCAGGGCGCTTCTCGAGCAAGAGATCAATTGCGCTCGCAGCAGAAAAGCCGTAGGCTACAATGAGCCACGCGCAGAGCGCGCCAGCGCTGCGGTTGATGCCGCCAAAGCAATGGAACAAGACTTGCATGTCTTTCTTTTCGCAGACGTGAAGTTTGGCCAACCTCCAAAGCTGGCAACAGAGGTGCTTCCAATGCGTGAAGCAGTCCAGAGCACACTGCCGGAGCTGGTCCGCGCTGTTGCGCGGCTGCCTTACAGTCCAGTCCTCTAGGTGTCCTTGGAGATGACGAGCGCCAAAGTCTGCGAAGTATTGGCGCCAATCCTGCGGAGCGCCCCGGACGGTCATCTCCCGGCCACAAAGGGTGACCACTACGTTGACGCGCGCTGCGAGCCAGCTGTGGATGTCCGCCAAGGAGCAGGCAGCTTTGAGGCTTCCCAGCAACACATTCTGACTTGCGTTCTCGGAGTGCACGACGCAGGCATCCAGCGGCCAGGCTTCAATGCTCTTGAAGCTATAGTCGTGCTGCCACACTCGGCAGTCCAGGTCCGACCAGGCGCTGCGCTTTTTGAAGCAGCTGTCGACGGCTCGCTGGCGGTCCTCTATCCATTCCTCCAACCCGTCGGATGGCGCAGGCAAAGCGCAGTCCGACATGGTATCAAGCTGCGCCATAGTCTTGCACCAGAAGCTGCTGACGGCCCCTGCACAGCATCCAGTCCGCATGCGCTCCAGTTCTCGTGTGCCCTCGTGCTTTTTTCACAGCCGCCTGTCAACATGAAGTTAGCGCCCGGGATTCGCAAAGAGCACGCCTTCCTGGTCGCGTTTCAAATGGTGTGAGAAAAGACTCGAAGCTACTACTACTACTACTAGGTCTCCTTCCGAATTTCCCAGCGTCCGCTTTTGACCTTGGAGGGAGTTTGCGCCACGAGGGCGTCAGCCGGACGCTTCGTCGCCGTGGTCTGCGCGGAGTCAGCCTGCAGCTCCACGACCAGGGAGCGCTCAGCAGCAAGGTTGTCCACTTGGCCCTCGTCCTTGACACGAAACATGCGCTTCCCGACCATGGTGACCTTACCCGCTTTGTCTTCGCGAGTCAGCGCTCCGAGAAGTAGCCGGGGAGTCCCGTCGGACATGCTGTACTGCAAGCACTGGGCAAAGCTGCACATGGCTTCCACGCAGAACTCTTCCTCTGCAACAGCCGCGTCGACAGGCACAACTTGGGCGTGCTGAATCAAGACGTGCTCGTCGCTCTGATCGCCAAATCGACGCAGCTCGCCTGCGTCCTTTGCACGTGCCAGGATGGTCACAAAGGCCGGGAAGATCACTGCGCCGTTGACCTTGATGCCCATGCCGGAGTAGGACACGTCAGTGTACACGCTGCTAACCGGATACACGGCCCCTTCTGGCCTCGACCCGGCAAGGCGCAGCACCTTTTTGATCATGGGGCGGCTATGAGCATCGTAGGCCTTTCCCAAGCACGGCTGCGCCGCCAGGACCTGGAACTGACACTCTGTCGTGCTCGAAGCCTTGCTATCGGAGTCTTGAGAGTCCTGTTGGGTCGTAGCAGCAGTAGAGTCTGTCGCAGGCCGATACTTGTTCATGCTGGAGCTGGTGGCCAAGCGAATGTCCAGCTGAGTTCGAAAGCACAGCCCCTCGGGCCCCTCTTTGTCAAGGATACGCAGCAGTGCCTGCTTATCTTCAGCAGCCGACAAGTCACACAGCGCAGCTTCGCCAACGAGAACACGCTCCAAGCAGCCCGTGTGGTCAGCAATGTCCAAAGTTGCAAGGACAGCCACCTCGTCATTCGGCGTGGAAGCGCAGCCCTCAGCCTTCTTCTTGCAGGCCTGTGTGCTTGCATCAATTTTGGTGCGGCAGTGCTTACAAGGTGTATAGCTGGGGCTGCCGTGCACGTTCGTCACCCAGATGCCATGCAGCACAACCTCCACAGCGGCCTCGGTTCGGTTTGTCAGCGCATGAGTTCTAGTCTAGCACTACAGGGCTGTCACCCAACTGCAGACAAGGGGCTCCAGGAGCTCGGTCCTGCATAGTCAAGGGGCAAGCAGCAACGGTCGCTGCGCAAGACACGTACTTCTCCGAGCCGTCCGTCTTCATTCGCAGCGCGCCGGCCTGCAGGCTCCACGGCGTGGAAATGGCGTGGCCCCTGTCGCAGTCGAGCTGCCGCAAGCGCTCGGCGCGCTCTCCCGCAACATCTGTGGTCAGGTGGCTGAAGCTGTGCCGGTCGGAGTCCAGGAAGTCCTCGCAAGAGCCTTCCACGGACCCATCGAGCTTCTTGTGCAAGAGGCAGTTGTCGATCTGAGCCAGCTGGCCTACCTTCA